GTCTGACCATTAACCCCTAAATATACAACACGCGTCTCCCTTAACACAGGTAGACAGGATAAATTTGTCATCTGATTTGTTTAGGTAATTGTACTGAGGGGAGATAGTCTATTGATGGAGATAGTCTATTGGTGGAGAGAGTCTATTGGTGGAGATAGTCTATTGGTGGAGATAGTGTATTGGTGGAGATAGTCTATTGATGGAGATAGTCTATTGGTGGAGAGAGTCTATTGGTGGAGATAGTCTATTGGTGGAGATAGTCTATTAGTGGAGATAGTCTATTGATGGAGATAGTCTATTGATGGAGATAGTCTATTGGTGGAGATAGTCTATTGGTGGAGATAGTCTATTGGTGGAGATAGTCTATTGTTGGAGATAGTCTATTGGTGGAGATAGTCTATTGGTGGAGATAGTCTATTGGTGGAGATAGTCTATTGGTGGAGATAGTCTATTGTTGGAGATAGTCTATTGGTGGAGAGAGTCTATTGATGGAGATAGTCTATTGGTGGAGATAGTCTATTAGTGGAGATAGTCTATTGGTGGAGAGAGTCTATTGATGGCGATAGTCTATTAAGTAGAATAGTCTGTTGGAATGGTCTATTGTTGGAGATGGTCTATTGATGGCGATAGTCTATTGGTGGAATAAATGTGGTGGGAATAGTCTATTGATGGAGATAGTCTATTGGTGGGAGATGGTCTATTAGTAGAGATGGTCTATTGATGGAGATAGTCTATTATTAGTGGAATGGTCTATTGATGGAGACAATCTATTGGTGGAATAGTCTGTGGTGGAGATAGTCTATTGATGGAGATAGTCTATTAGTGGATACAGTCTATTGATGGAGATAGTCTATCGTTGAAGATAGTCTATTGGTGGAGATAGTCTATTGATGGAGATAGTCTATTGATGTAGATAGTCTATTGATGGAGATAGTCTATTAGTGGATACAGTCTATTGATGGAGATAGTCTATTGGTGGAGATAGTCTATTAGTGGAGATAGTCTATTGATGGAGATAGTCTATTAGTGGATACAGTCTATTGCAGGAAGACCAATTACACTGTTCTGTATATAACTGAGCTTCAAGAAAATCCTATTACAATCTGTTAAGACGGTCACACACACACACACACACACACACACACACACACACACAGAGGCCTGAGGGAACTCCAAGGATATAAGGAAAAGGTTTAAGGTGAATCTCAGAGGAGGAGTTGGCCTTTTGTCCCTATTCATAGGAAGACGGATCCCTGCAGCGAGACGCCGGCCATTATCACCACTATTATTACCACCACCACCACCACCTCTACTACTACCACCACCACCACCACCTCTACTACTACCACCACCACTAGCATCACCACTACCACCTCTACTACTACTACCACCACACTACCACCTCTACTACTACTACCACCACTACTACTACCACCACCTACTAGCATCACCACTACCTGCCTACTACCACCACCTACTACCACCACCACTAGCATCACCACTACCACCATCAATACTACTAACACCACCATCACCACTACCACCACCACCACCACCTCTACTACCACCACCTAGCACTACTCTACTACTACCACCACCACTAGCATCACCACTACCACCATCACTACCCACCACCACCACCTCCTACTACTACCTAAGCATCACCACTACCATCACTACTACTACCGTACTACTACTACCACTAGCATCACCACTACCACCATCACTACCACCACCACCACCACCTCTGCTGCTACCACCACTGGCATCACCACTACCACCATCGCTACCACCACCACCCACCTCTGCTACTGCCACCACCACTAGCATGCCACTACCACCACCACTACTACCATTACTACTGCCACTAGCATCACCACTACCACCATCACCACCACCACCGCCTCCTGCTACTACCACCACCTAGCATCACCACCACCACTACTGCTACCACCACCGCTACTACTTTCACCACCACCTCTGCTACTACCACCACCACTAGCATCACCACTGCCATCACTACCACCACCTGCACCACTACCTGCACCACCTAGCGTCGCCACTGCCACCACCACTGCTACTACCACCACCCTATACTACCACCACACTCTACTACTACCCACCACCACTAGCATCACCACTACCACCATCACTACCACCACCACCATCACTACCACCACCACTAGCATCACCACTACCACCACCACTACTACTACCACCATTACTACTACTACCACCACCACCCTCCTCCCCCCTGCTACACAACCCTATTATAGTACAGCAAGAAAGGTATATACACTCGCCTAACCTAACCCTCCTCTCCACACACACCTGTACTTATCACCAACTTCACCACCCCTCTACACACCTGTCTCTAGTATGACCTGTTTTAAATAGCTCTTGGAGGCGTGACGACCCTCGCCCTCAAGTATAAAGTCTTCCATCATCCGCTATTAAGTTTTATAGTGTGGCCTTAACCCGTCCAACTGTCTGTCTGGGT